ATTATAATACAAGCAAGCATATTTGACCTTGCAAGCTACAATCAACAATGGTTACCAAGAACGTGTTCAAAAAGTTCGAGCCAAATGCCGCCTTCGTACAATCAATACCACTTGATTGAAAGTGAAGATATCAGCTCCCTTCAAGCAGAAGAATTTGACATGTAATGAACACAATGACCTTCTTGCAAGCAGAGATCAAACTAAAAGGATAACAATGTGCTTACAATCAATCAATAACATAGAGTTCTCAAGAAGTTTTGGAGATCTTCAAGCTAATCAAAATGCAAGGGGGTGTGAAGGGCATTTAACAGATGAAATACTTGCCTTACAACACTCTAGCAATCTACATCAATATACAAACAAGCACACTGATCTACATGCAAGCAAGAATAGATGATCTGCAATACATATAAGTCCTCCATTAATATAGATCAAAAGCGGATGTACTGAAAAGACCAAAGACGACAATAAAATGCATGAAGAATACAACAACTGCAAGCTCCTACGATCAAAGCAGCAGATTCGTTAGTGCACTATAATCTACATGCATAAATTATGCAAGTAGTGCACGACAGTCTACCTGCACAAAACAACAAACAACTCAATTCAGAAGCTGCAACGCCATGCCACCGGATTCGCAACAATCATACAGGTGGACAGAAGGCGTTTATAAACATTTCAAAATAACCCTGCATATGCACTGTAATATGTATGCACATGGGTATGCTAAATAGGGGTATACAATTAAGAACCTACACGAATCCCGATGAGCGTGTTATAAGTACTCACGTGATGTCTAGGGATGATGCGCGGGTCATTAAATTTTAACCCGATCCTCGTAAGCAGGTAGATAAGAGTAGACAATGTTCAATAAATAATTATAAAATGCCTCTCAAACACCCGCATAGTCCCCAGCAAGCTTGTTATTGGTACACACGTGACATCTAGGGATGCTGCGCGGGCCAATAAGTGAATTCAAGTTCGAACCCGATCCTTCTATACAGATTAATAGGAGTTGACAGGGTTCGATCCATCAAACAAGTATACGGTTGCGGCGACCGATATATTTGTTTTAATACATTCATATTAGGCCTTCAAGGTCTATAATCAAGTGAATTCACTAATAAAGGCACAAAGCCTACGAAACCTGATCCCCTATCGGCAAGTTGATAGGGTCGACTAGGTTTAATCAAATGGAAATGACATTAAGGTTACCTTGATGATGGTCGTGTTAAATGCAGATCTCAACCGGAAGAGTTAACATCAAATATTTCAAAATACCATCAAACTCCACAAAATTCAAATATATTCAAGTGACCCTAAACACCCCGATGATGATCGTATTGAATGTCTATCTCAACCGGAGGGGTTCACAAATATTTTCAAATGTCACCTAAATACCCATCAAAATCCAAAACTCCACAAAGTCAAAAATCCAAAAATCCCAAAATTCAAAATATTTAAAATTAAAAATCAAACCATTAAACACTTAAAGCAAATATCCATTCACCCTCAGCAACAATTTATCGAGGTAGACAAATTAAAATTAACTTCAACTCATATTGAGCTAAATGCCTAGTAAAAAATATTACTATGATCCATTCTCAAACAATCTCTTGCAAATAAGGATGTGGTATGTGTCCTCTGACCGACGATTTTGTCGTCAAATGGCACCGCAGGATAAGCGGTTATGACCCGGGGCTCTCTGAACATAGTGATTTTGCCTCCAAATGGCACAATGAAATATCGGTTATGGCCAGAGCCAATACGCTCCTTAGTGGCATCAAATCCTTGAGATATGAATCAATAGGATATAATCGATAGGGCATAAAGCCATCTGTTAGCTAAAGTGGATTCAAATTTGTCCCATTAGGCAAATATTCACCCCAAGTCTACAAGGTACCCTTGGACGAAGCAACCCATGGTTGCCGACAAGGATCCTTCTGTCAGGTTAGGTCGACTACCTCCTCTGACTAAGTAGACCAGGGACCACGATGGCCTGGGATGATGGAATCATGGGATCTTGATCGGGTCCATCATCCATTCCCCCACCATCCGCTTTAAGTGTGAGATGGTGAAATTTTTATTTTAAATATCAAATCTTCCAAATCTTAAACTTCCAAACCCCAAATCCATGTTGTTACTATACGCCAGATAACACGTATCTCTACGTATCTGATTGACGACTAGCCTTAATTGAATGTTCTCTCTCGTTATCGGGAGGGGTAATTAACTATAAGGGCTTGCGCCTATAGGAAACCAGAACTCAGATCATAAAGTTCTCGCAAAATGAGGGCGAAATCTCTGGGTATTGTCTTATCTACAAACCCATCTGCCTTCCAAAATTTACCCCGAAACTTATTCCGTTAAAACTCCATCACCGAAGAAAAAGCAACACAGGGCGGGCGGAGGCTAGGGTCGAATTTTCGGAGCCCACAGATGTTTAAGAGTTTAACTTCTTTCACTTAAGAGATTTTCACAATCCCCCCACTTAAGTAATTGACGTCCTCGTCATCATCTTTATCCGAAAGTCATCCTCCAGGCAGATAGGATTCTATAGGTGGCCCCTTTAAGTTCAAGTTGTGTCTCCTGTCATGTAGCACTTTGTCTCATAGAGGGTTTAAGAGATGGCTCCCATGGCGTAACACTTTGTCTTGTATGACACTTAGTTCTCATATTCTAGCTGATGTATTGCTTTGATACCATTTGTAACAGCTCGAACTCTTAACCATCGAGATTTTGTCCGCTTTGGACTATGAGCCTCTCGGTTTTGTTCTATTGTGTAATTTCCCAGTAGGTCACCCATCCTAGAATTGCTCTTAGGATGAGCACGCTTAACTGTGAAGCTTTTTACGGAAATTTCAACCATTACATCAAAAGGTGCCTCAATGTTTAAGAGTAACTTTTTTTACTTAAGGGGTTTTCACACCACTGGACCCGCAACACTCGTACAAGCGGACATAAGGCGTCTAAGGGCTTCTAAATATAACACTATGCACTCTCAAATGATAATCATTCGCACAGTTGACTAGTGCCAAACACTTTAAAATGCTCTCCCACATGGATTGCAATAGGCAGAATACATCATTCAAGCATGTCATTCAACTGTAGTAGCGCATCACATTAATATGCAAATATGTCGGGTAATGTGCTATTGAAAACCTAATCCGCCTTCTGAAAATTTGCCTCTTAAATGTTAAAATTTTCCTCAATGACCTGAAAAAGAAAAAGGGGCTGCAGAGAGGACGAGGTGCGAATTTTTGGAGCCCACACCAAATTTTATTGAGCGAGCTAATATAGGTTCAACCCGCCCATCCTAGGATAATTATTATTACAGCAAAATTAAATCTAAAACCTTAAAGTTAAAATATATAATATAAACCTAAAAGTTGAGTAAATCAATACTTAAATTTTGGAATAATAATAACTTATAATTTAGATTAAGTTATGATTTAGAGTTAACAGAAAAGGGGGAAAGAAGAAAGAAAAGATTAGCCACAAATTCTGCAGGTTTTGATGATGACAAACTCCTAATGAGTGCTTACAGAGGGAAGGGCAATTGTGTCTCGTGAGAGTTGTAGATGAGTGAAAAATTTTGAAGATGAAAGGACATGCAATTTGAATTGCGGCTCAAGGAGAAGAGGAGGATTCATAATGTTGGGGTTGATTACTTACGGTGGAAGGCTTGAGTAGCTCAACTGAGATGCTTGCACAAGGGAATAACTCTCGCTGAAAGGAAAGGACTCAACATGGATGAGTTGTGAGATGGTTGCTTGGCTAAAGGAGAGTTCGAGGATTGGTGGTTGCAAGGGAGTGAGAGATATGCCCTAGCTTTGCTTCCTACAATCAAGGTCCAAGGAACAAGACAAAATTGGCACGGACGAGATCTTCATGTTGATTATGGCGAGGTGGAAAGGAATGAGATATCTGCATTAAGTTGTTAGTGTGAGAGAGAAGGGTGAAGTCACCCAGGGTTCAGACGAGGGGTTGAGGCTTCAACAATTTGGGACCGGTTAGTTTTAGCTATGGCTTCGGTTCGTTACAAATATCCTTTACTTGATCTGTTATACCCTTCTGCCTGCTTATCATGGTACTAACTCGATCAAAAACTCCAGTTTTTTGTGTTCACATATTTCGGTTGTGCTTTTGTTGATGGAGCTATATTAGCATAAACATTAGTAGATGTTGTGCCGATGGGATTCTTTGCGGGTAGGCTGATGTTTGTCTTTTGATGTAATGATTCTCAGTGGAGAGGTTTCATCTATTAGTTTTCACGGTAATTTAATTTGGGAAATTTGGGGAGGTGAAGGATGAAAGGCATACGAAGGATGATGATTGGGAGTGCTAAGCTTGTGATTCTGGTTTGCTTATTTTGTTCTGTTTGAACATGAAATAAGCTGCACCAAACTGAATATATTTTTCAATTCAGATCTTGTTTTTTTGAGATCTTGTGACGGTCATACTAATATGACTAGATTGCTCCATCTTGTTTATCTGCACACTCGTATCAGTTAACCGTGAGAACTGATGGTGAGGGAGTGAGAATCTATAGTGGCAGGGAATTCTCTGAATATCTTTTATGTTTTAGTATTTTTGAAAGGAAGATCATATGTATTGTGAACTACATATTCATATTTTAATCATAGTCGAATTTTTCTAGTGGTGTGTATTTTTTTAGCTAGTTATAGTGAGGACTGGGTAAGGTGAGTTAAAGTACTGTATGAGGTCTTTGCTCTTCATGATTAGCGTGAATTCTACTTCTGATTTGAATTTTATTTTCTTATGGTTCCTTGTTTAATTGTCTTTGAAATTATTTGGTTGAAGTTGTTGCACTTGAGATATTCATGTCATTTCTTTGCAAATGAAGATACTGATTAATGACATATGATAAAATTGAATTTGTTGATCGGATTTGTAGCTTCTATATAAGTGCTTTTTTTCTTGATAATTACTGGAATAGTGCTTAATTTCTTTTTCATACTAGTTTTTCTTCTTTCCAGCCTAATGAAGCCGCATCTTATGCTAATTATTACTACAGAAGTCAAAGTCATGGACGAGGTAGAGGCAATGCGGTACTAATTTTCTTAATCTAACCTTTATTTCTTGAGTTTATGTTTTTGGGTTGGTTACTTGTATGCTATTAAAAGCTAGGCCAATTGTCTATATCATTCCTTATTCTAAATAAGATGTCATCTTTTCCAAACTTCACTCTCGAATTTCATAAAGTTTGAGAAAAAATGCTTCAACTTTTATTTTTAGTGTTTGCTGCTGTTAGAAATCTGTGGGAGCATATCTTTCTCTCACATTCATTCCCTGAGCATCCTTCCTATAATTATAAAACAATTTAAGTTGATATTCTAGTATTTTGTTGTTCAAAATGCTCTAAGATCCTTATTGTAACTTATGTCAGGGAAAAGAATGCAAAATCTGACTTGCATTTAGTTGCGAATACAATGATATAATGGTGCTTTTGGTTAACTTGAAGACGTTAACTTTATCGTCATTAGTCTAATGGCAACTCTTTCTTGTTGGCTTTATAATCCTCCTCCATGGGGTGTCAATGGCAGTGGACTATTGATAGTATTCTTGCACCTTGAAATGTATGCGGATCATTCTGCACTTTGTCAAATTTGCATGCCTCGTACACTTCACCATTTCGTGTTTCATTCATTCCTAAATACTCCCCTCACGTAGTAGAATTGATTCTTATAAAAATGATGAGATATCTCACAAATATTCCTGCAAATCTCCTTGGTTAAACTTTGATTTAGTTACCACCAATGCATTTGTGACATTGTTGGCTATGACATGGTTGCTGACTCAATTTATTAAATCTAGTCAATTCGGGTTCAATTGAGTCTAGTCAAGCTCATATTAGATTTCATTGAACCCAAATTTATCCGACGGTTGAGATTACCTTAAAATATTAAAACTTGTGGTGTTGTCTTCTGATCTTATCTCGAGATTTCTAGGATTTACGACAATGTTTGGGGAGGAAGAAATTATTCTGTGCAGAGTCCGGACGTAGCTCTACATCCAGACTCAAACTAAATCATGACACATGGAGTGTAGACGTGGATATTTAAATTGGATTTCGTTTTAATTATATCTTAATGATCCGATATACCAGGCCTAGAGGTTCAGCATCCAGTTCAAATTTAGGTTTTAGGGTTGACACTCTTTTTTTTAAATAAAAATATCCGCGAAAGCTCTGCAATATATAGAATTTTAGCTCAATAAACTCTTAATATTTGCTAAAAAAAATGAGAAAGAGCTGATGAAGATGAAAAATGATTTGGATGAGGACAGTCATTGTTCGAGTAGAGGATATGCCTATAGAAAGCGAAATCTCAAGGGCGGTATTCAAATGCCAAGAGAGAAGAATTGAAGTTGAAAGAGCTACAGCCTGAAGAAATAGTAGTTTTTTCTGTATTCTTAGGGAATATGTCGGGGGTCCGAGGGGGCAATTTGGAATTCTGTTTGTTTTTATTAAATTAATAGTAATAAAATTAGTTTTTGCTACTTCAGTGCTTTCGACTATCATCAAATTTAATTTTCATTTTTTTTTTTGTTCAGATCATTTTACTATAAGTGTTTTCATTATGAATTAAATTTGTAAGAAAATTTTTCTAGAAAATAATAATAAAATGTGTAATTCATTGTGCTTTTGCTGCTTAGTCAATGATTTAGACAATCGTCAACTTTAATTTTCAAATTTTTTAGTTCAAATCATTCTACTATAAGTGTTTTCACTTTGAATTAAATTTGTAAGAAAAAATTTCTTGAAAATGACAGCACAATGTGTAGTTCATTGTGCTTTCACTGTGCTTTTTTGCCCTTTCATTATGTTTTTGCTGTACTTTCACTGTGCTTTTTATGCGCTTTAGCTGTACTTTGCTGCCCTTTTGTAACTCTATATTGTAATCAAATTTTATTAGTTCAGATCATGTTGTTATAAGTATTTTCATTATAAATTAGATTTGTAAGGAAAATATCTTATATAATTACAATATAATTTGTAATTCATTGCGCTTTTACTACGGGTTTTATGCGCTTTAGCCGCACTATGACTGTGCTTTCACTGCGCTTTTGTAACTCGCAATCGTATTCAAATTTTATTACTTCAGATCATGTTATTATAAGCATTTTCACTACGAATTAAATTTATAAGAAATTTTTTTACATAATTACAATGTTATGTGTAATTAGCTGTGCTTTAGCTGCATTTTCACTGCGCTTTAGCTGCGCTTTTATTGGCTTTCACTGCGCTTTTGATGTGCTTTGACAGTTAATCTGTGGTTCGACTATTGTCAATTTTAATTTTTAAAACTAGATTTGCCTAATTTGGAACTCTCTGTCATAATCAAATTATTAGTAGTTCAAATGATATTACTATAAGTGTTTTCATTGTGAATTAGATTTGTAAGGAAAATCTTCTACATAATTATAATATAATGTGTAATGCACTGCGCTTTTGATGCATTTTTACTGCGCTTTGACTATGCTTTTACTATGCATTTGCTGTATTAAAAAGGAATGCAATATTATAAATAAAAAGAAATGTATTTAAAAAAATGCATTATTATTTTATTGAAAATTACAAATAGATATAATATAATTAAAGAAGTAATCAAAGAATACAATATAAAATGAATCATTGATAATATAAAATATACATAAAATAGAGCGTATGCGAATTCGACCCAAAATTTTGGCATTTTATTTTGCCAATTATTATGTTCTGCCCAATCCACTTTCCTTTGATGATTACTATGCATGCTGCTTTACCTTATGATTGTTGCAAGAATTTGCTTGTGCTTCGAATTGGGTAAGGATTCGTAAAATTTCCAAACATTCTTTTGCAAATAAAAAAAATACATAGTTAATATAATGAAAAACGTAGTGAAAGCGTAACTAAAATGCAGTGAAAGTGCTGCTAAAGTATAGTGAAAGAGCAGTGAAAAAAATCATTAATAAATGTAGTTATATATTTGAAAGCTATGAAATCCACTTTTGAAAAATGGAGAAGTCGTTATACGAACTGATACCATGAAAGCAAATGCATTGCGAAAGCACACTTAAAGCGCAACTACAACGAGACTAAAATGAACAAAAATACCTCAAAAATTTTATAACAAACAAAAACAATATAATTTTTAAAATAGAAAAACTCGTTACGCTATCGATACTTGTGAATATGCAACAAAAGCTCATCAAAGGTGCAATAAGTTCTTGCATTTGTTTGTTCGTGGAGATGAACTTTTGCATCGACTGGAATGTCGAAGGAATGCAGTGAAGCGTCTAGAATACTGAACGAGAGAGAAAGTGAGCAGTGAAATGGCGGGATGAAAAGTAAAATGATCTAGCTCCGAGCTTTTGAACTGCTATAAATTCAAAATTTTCATCTTTGGGTCAGGTCAGGTCGGTCAGGCAGACAAGACATTAATAAAAAATAAAATCCAATTGAATATCTACATGTCCACTCTACGTGTCAAGATTTAATTGGTGTTTGTACATACAACTAGGGGTGTCAATATTTGACACGACACGAAAACCCGACCCGGACCCAACCCGGAAAATCCGAGTTGGACCCGACCCGATTTCAAAACGGGTCGGGTTCGGGTTGACCCGGCGGGTTGCCGGGTCAGCCTGCCAACCCGTTTAATTTAAAAAAATTTCGAATTTTCCCGCCCTTGCCGCTGCCCCGCGCGTGCCCCGTGCCCCCGCGTGCTGCCCGGCAGCGGCCCTCGCGCCTCGCGCCGTCGCGTGCCGCGTGCTGCCGCCCTCGCGCTCGCGCCGTCGCCAGCTGTCGCGTTCTCTGCCGCGCAGGTCGGGTCGTGTCAACCGGCAACCCGCAGGGTCGGGTCCGAGTTTGGATTTTCGACCCGTTTCTCTACCTGGGTCGGGTTAGGGTCACCCGTTTTCCACCCGGGTCAGTTCGAGTTCGACCCGAACCCGACCCGTAACCCGAAATTGACACCCCTACATACAACTACACCCAAAAATTTTGGGAAATTTTACATACATACCACTTTATAACATCATATTTATATATCTAACACTTAAAACTTTAATATTACATGCATACCACCCTATATTATTTTAATATCAAATATACCACTTATCTTTCTTTCCTACCACTCATATATTTCATTTCTACCACTCATATTTGGTATGAAAATGAACTATGGGTAGTATTTATGTAATATTAAAGTTTTAGGTGTTAAATATATAAATAGAATAGAATTAAGTGATATGTATGTAAATCTCCCAATAAGTTTTCATGGGGAGGATCCAGCAGGGACCTGTGTTTTTTTTTTTTTTTTCCTTATAAGAAAGGACAACAGGGCTAGCACGGGCAAAGAGGCCGAACCGAGAAACTAGGAAAGGAGGGCGGTGCCTTCTGCTTTTTTGGGTATTTGCTGGAATGAGACGGCGAGATAGGGAGAGCTCGAGTGAGGAAGGCTTTCATGCTTTTCTTCTTGGGCCGAAATCGAGTAGCCGACGAACCTCATTGCTTGCGCCCCTTTCTTCTTTTGAGTAGGCAAGCGGGCTTGGGAATTACCCGTGTTTAACCTCAGATGAAACCGACCTTCATGAGACTGGGGAGCGAGGATCGAGCGGCTGAAGAGCTGAGTTGTGCGTCACCTTGGGAAAATCAAGCGTTACGCCTTCTTCTTGATGTTCTTCCAAATGGAGAGGAGTGGCCGAGGGATTTGGATCCATCCAAGCTTCTGAAATAAGCAAGGAGTTTTCCTTCTTGTTGGGTTAAGGAGTTTGTTTCAGCCACCAAAATCTCATTTTTCTTCCTTCAAACCTAGCAAGGCGGTGGTGGAAGCAACAGTCCAAGCAACTTGAAGCAGCCACCGATCCATTTCAGTTACTTTGTTTCATCTAAATGAAAGTACTACGGCGATCTCTATCGGACCTTATCTCCGATAAGGAAAAATTTCTAAACATAGGAAACCTAGGTCTTTAAGCTGCTTGTTGTGTTTATGATGCTCCCGGGCTCCTAGGTTATTAGAAAACTTCATTTTATGCTCTCCAACCCCGTTAATACCCGCCGTCCTCT